CTTTGGAGAACCAGATCCCTGCTGCTCCCTCCCCTCTCCAAGGCCTGGGCAGTTCCCAGGAGTCCTACATGGCCTCCAAGCCCTTTTGTCTACACCCTTACTCGGCCCCGATGTGTCTCTTCGTGTCTGGTTTTCGTTAATGTACTAAGAGCTCGAACGAGTCGCTCCCGCAGTGTCTCGTCCCGCATCCATCCCGGTCAGCCCCGTTGGCACCCGTTGGGTTAGACGGGGCGGGAGGCGGGGGAGTTGGGTCTGTTGTTTTCAAGCTTTTTTTTTTTTTTTTTTTAAATTTTTTTTGTTTAACTCTTGCACCTTAATCTCTCACATCCCTTCTTCGACAGACTGCGAGGGTGGAGAGGGGCTTGATTTCCATTATGCAGTTCATGAATATGCCGCAACGCAACATTCAGCTGACAACTCTGCCCACATGCCTAACCCCAGACCTCTCCGGGTTTGCATTTTTTTTTTTCCCCCTTCATTTGAACTCTGGGGAGGGAGGGAGTCATGTGGGGAGGGTGATTTTTGGTTTATATATCCCAGGAGCCTGGTAGCAGAGACCAGTTAGCCTCATGATGGCCATGAGGCACGGCTGGCCCTTCGGACCACAGCCATAACCCCCGGATAACCCCCGGTGCGGTGGGAAGGTGATGGATGGATGGACAGCCGGCGGGTGGGAACGGCTGTGACAGTGCAATAGAGACAAGCATCCGCTGCTAGACAACTCCACTGATTAAACTCTTGGTTCGCCTGAAGTAGAGAGGGAAGGATGGACGGACAGACGCCCTTTGTTCACACGGACGGAGAGAGCTTCCCCACACGCAGCCCTGCCTGGTGACACGTAACCACGATGGGAGTTGGGTCGAACTTGCAAAGGAAGAAAATAATAATTTTTAAAAAAAGGAAAAAATAGGAATAAGAACAACCTCAGTAGCATGGAACTTGAAGGAAATGAATGACCCCCAAGCACTTGCCTCAAAACTAGTTTCTCATGCCTGGTGTTCGACTCTATATTATTTTACGGCATTCAGTATCGGTTGCCCAAACATGCCAAGTTACGAGTGTATCGGTGGCTCTACTAGTGTGAACAAACGAAATGAAGCACTTTATTCTGTATAGATAAGGGAAGGCGGGGAGGGGAGGGGAAGCTTGGATGCTTTTCGGAAGCGTCTTAAGTAATGTTCTAGGAAATGTATTATTATTATTACTTTTTTTTTTTTTTATGACGTGTAATCAATATATGTTTATCTTCAAGTACAGCAGTTACTCTCTTTGGGATGGTGTGATGAGGGGGAGGCTGAGATGGTCGGGTTAGTGCATCAGCATGGGGCCAACTGGGGCAAGTCATTGCCTACCCGCAGGAATGGGCGAGTCTTGCTCCATTGACGGCCCTATTGGCCAATGTCCGGGAGGTCCCAAGGGGTGCATCAAAGCTGCCTACCAGGGCACGGCTCAGTCAGCCTTGGCACCAAGGGACCAACGTGCATTCCCATCCTGAGCCACCTTCTGCCTGGGGGTGCTGGGGCTGCTCACTGGGCCACCCACGAGCAAGATGAGTCACGGTAGGCTGTTTTGGGTTGTCCCTAGAGGCCAGGTCCTTGGCCGTGCTTTGAAACCTGCTTTTGGCCTCTCACCAAAGCACGTCAGGGGTCACTGAGCTCTGAAAGTGGTGAGAGGTCAGAACTGGGCCTCTCCACTGCGTTCTCCCAGTCTGGAAGTGTTATGACTGTTACCAAAGAGGTTGCAAGTGGAAGGACTGAATCAATAAACAATTTGTCTTTTATAAAAGAAAACTGAAAGCTCCACCACTTCCTTTGTTACCTTAGTTTTGCTTTTTTTTTTTTTTTTAAAGTCTCTTTTCAGGCAATTGCGTGAGGAGTCAGAGCCCGGCAGGATGGGCTTCTCATGGCATGTTCACCGCTGCCATTGCTTCACACGTATAGCCTTTGCGTTGGGTTTGGTGGGAGGTGTGTGCATGTGTGTGAGACAACTGGACTGCTGTGGGGCCAGCAAAAGTAGCTTTTCAGGGAAGGGTGATGAGTGGGTGGAAGAAGGGGCTTGGTGAGGGCTGAGCTCCTGGTTCCTACTGGCTCCATGAGATTTGGGTGAGCTATGAGCTGGGGCTCCCTGAGCTCCTCTGTAAACAGTGGAGAAACCAAGGAGACGATCCAAAAGGATCCAGTGCCTTTATTGATGTAAAATGGAGCGGTAGGAACCTCGCCAGCTAACATCAGCACTGATACTGGGAAGCTAATGGAAGAAGAGACGATTTTTCCCTCACCCTTGGGATGTACCTACTCCTTCGCAGCTGGCATTGCCCAGAGAAGATACCTGTGGGGTACCTGTGCCACCTTGTGTGCACCTGAGCCGGGAAAACGCCGGGCAGCAGCGAGGAGTGATGCCTCTTTGAGTATTCATGTTGGCATTTCTTATCTGTACTGAAGCAGCCTCTTGGCGAGGTGGTGGTGAACATCTCTGGGCCAGACTTGCACTTGGTGATGTGCAACTTTGCTGCCTTCCTTGGGCCAACGCTGGCTTGCACGCACTGGGGTTTGGCCCTCGTTGCTCAAGTGATGGGATATTTCAAGCTCTTCTGGGTCCTTTTATACAACAGCTATTTTTCCTTTTATGGTTTCTTGCCCTGTGCCAGTGATGGCATCTCCCACAGCTTTATAATGGATGTGAACCACACAGGAGCACTAAGGTCCTATTAACCGTATTCCCGATGGACAGTTGTGAAGTGAGCAACCGAGGATGGGGACCAGTTTTAATCGCTACCTCTCAAGCCATTATCAAGGGACGACACCATAACAACTCATCGAGACTCAGCAACATTGCTGTTGACTTCAAAGATTTCCCCCAGGAGAGCCAAGCAACGTGGCAGCGGGCCTATGGGGATTAACCCTGTCTTCGGACCAAGTGCCAACAGCTTTCCATTCTGTGTCCAGCAAGAAGAGCTGAACCAAAGGTGTTGGTTTCCCATCCCGGGCAGGAGGTGGTATTCTGCCACCGCAATAAATGACTTTTAAAAAATTATTATTCTATGCATGGATTTTTTTTTTTCTTCTTTTTTTTTTTCTTTTCTGCCACAAGATATTCTACATTTGGTAGATTCATCTTCAATTAGCTTGGGAGTTATCCACAGGAATTTCTGCAGAACTGGGTAGAAGGTGATTTCTTTTTTTTTTTTTGCAGTGCATTTTTTACACGTTTGATATTGTTTCAAAGGTTTTTGTTGCCTTTTTTTTCTTTTTCTTCTGAGCTATTTTGTGCCAGCCAGTCACCTTGGATTTATTTTTCTTGTGAAAATGTTTCATTACTGCTCTGATGTGATTGTCCTCTAAGGAGATTATCCTGTAACTTTTTAAATCCTTAAAATGAAACCAGGACAAGACTCTGGTTCCTTTACTCATGCCAAATTGTCTTTCCTTCCAAACATGTTTTAGTTTCTCCACGACTGCATTCTGAGCTAGATGAATCAGCCTGATACAATTTTTGATACTATAATTTTCATGCCACTTTGAGGGTATTATTTTGCAAGGTTTGCATTTGTTCTTTTTTATTATCACCCCTGTTCACGGTGTCATGAGATCATGTAGGCATCCAGCTTCCTTCTAGTCCTAGGTAAGCTTCTAGTCCTCATATCTATGGAGAACAGCTGTAAGGATATGAATGCTAGTGTTTCAGCTTCCACATGGGGGAAAATAAGAAGAATAAAAGCTGGGGCTGTGCAAGGGCTCTCCATGGGGCTGGTTTGCTGCACGTGTTCATTGCAGCTTTTGCTTGGTCCTTGTGTTTGGTGGACATTCAGTTACAACTCTATCAACATGCAAACAGAGGATTTCTTTCGAAATAGCCTAATAATTTATTTTTAAATCAACCACTGGTCAGATGTTGTGGGCATCAGGAGATTTTTGCTCCAACAGATCTTTGTCCTGCTGCCAGTATAGTCATGTTTCTATCAAAACTTCATTATGGATAACTTTAAAAAAAAAATGCTTTTTTCCTCAGTGGGAAGCTCTTTTTGAGCCAAACACATCTGAGATCTCCATGTACTTAGCAAACTAGAATACTCTTTAAAAAGAAAAGGGCAGAACATTAAAAATAAGAGAAACAGCATAAATACAAAACCTTTCCCTGAAAAACAGCACTTGTCCAACCGTAGGTGAGAACATTGTGATCTGTGATTGAAGATGAGGAGCCCAAAAGACTGGAGATGAGTGCACATGGCCCCCCCACCCATCTCTCCCCACTTTCCTACCCTACTGCTTGCATGACTCTTCCCCTCCCGCAGACCTTAGCTCCTGGTGTCTCTTCAGTCCAAAGTCAAGGTGGAGGCAAGGACTAAGACTATTTTCTTTTCATTGCAGCTTCCAAAGTGTTTCTGCTGCCCGTGCTCACATGCTCTTTTCTTTTAACCGTCTCATCCCAACAACCCTCATCACCCAGGAACTCACCAAAATCTGCCCAAGTCTCTCCTGTACCACTTGACTTTGACCCTTCCTTCTCCTCTCCAAGGTGGGCTCTAGCACCATGCTCACAGCTACCTTAGGTGGGGAAATACCTTATAGACCCCCTTCCCCAGGGAACATCAGCTTAGTCCCTCGGGACCCACTTTCTGCCTCCACTGTTGGTTGGGGAAGTTCAACAGCAGTTGAGAAGATGGGGAAAAACATGGAGAAAGAAGTGGAAGAAAAGTATGATCTTTTTTGTCCTGACTACTGAGACTGGAACAGCTCATTGCTCCATGCTTCTCAGTCTACCCCAGCTCCTTGCAGACTCCAGATCCCTTCTCTAGTTATCTTGTCAGCATCTTCAAGCTCCCATAGGGCTTCAAGGTAATTTCCCCCCTTTCCCATTTGACTAAGTAAAATGGCACCAATCACAGATGCAATGTCCTACAGAGTACCCAGATGCCACACCTCTGCACTGATAAGTGTGGCCTCACCCCCCCATCCCTCCTTGCCCCAGACCCCCATGGAAAAATATTAAATCACGCCGTGCTACATCTTCGTTAGACGTAAAACATTGAGGCGCACGGGAAGGAAAGTGGCACCGGAGGCGTACTGGATCTCCCGGAGGACCCCCTCCCACTTCTTCTGCTCTTCATCATACCTGGGGAGAGACAGACAGAGAGTTACGGTGAGGAAGGCATCTCCTCTCCCTCACTTCAGCTGCTCTCCATAATGGTGGGAGATCTGATGCATGGTGTGATGTCTCGCAGACATTATTTGGCCACAAGATATCTATGGGAACTGCATGAGGACTTTCAGCCCTGGTGTGCTCTGGTTTGCAGCGCCAGGCTAGGGGACATGGATAACAGCGCGTGGTCTCACAGAGGAGAGTGTATTTTTCCATTGGGAAATGGGTTGATGGCACCAAGACTGAACATCCATGGTGAAGGCCAGCAGGTACCTGCTGAGGGTGCTCTAGAGCCACAGATGTGAAGGACAGGAGCAGCTAACGCTATATTAGCAACCGTCAGAAAGTGCTTTCTGCCCACTTTGCTGGCACGTAAGACTATCTGATTTCCAGCCCGAGCACTGGCTTCTCCCAGGGAGAGCATGCCTTGCACAAACACTGCTTCACGTCAAAGGGGAGGTCTGGAACCAGCTCCAGGCAAAATGTCAATGCAGCAACAAAGCTAAAGGAGCAGCTTTTCCCTGGTACGTTGCTATATGAGGCTGGGAGAGATCACTGAATCACTTAACGTGCCCTCCAGCACAGGGCAAGCTTCTCACCCAGAGACCCTGCACTGAGCCTGCAGCCTTGTGCTGGGATAACAACATCCATCCCACACTGAAGGCATCAAGAAAGACAGAAACTGTCTGTTCCCTCGGTGGCTCTCACTAACATCCCTCCCACGCTCTCTTGGACAGCCCCGGGGAAGATCATCACCTCCAAACATCATTCAGCTCCGTTGGCACCAGGTCTCCAGACTCCGTCTCCACCGTGGCGAACCCCCCGAGCAGGTAGAGCACCCCAGCCAAGCTCACCAGGCTGACCGAGCTGCGCTCCTGGGAGAACTCAGTGAAAGTGTCCCACCTGCCACATCGAGAGAGGGGACATGTTAGGGCAACCTGCCTATCTTTGCGCCGAGGCTGGCCTTGAATTGGGAATCAACAACTGAATTACCTAGTGACAGATTAACTTGTGTAGGTCTGTATGGGATGGGATCATACGTTGACTGTTGTTAGAGATATCTGTTTCCATCATCACAGTTCAACTTCATTTTGCATTGAGTAGGTGAGCTGTGAAGCACACCTGGTATGGACCAGCAGGTCCCAGTGGTGGGACTGCAGCTGCAAGGCCCACCCAAAGTCAGAGAGTCTATTGCGTTAGGTGAAGCTGCGAAGATGAAGCTACAGCTCCGCAGGGAACCCAAGGGCTGCACCAGTTGGTGAAACTGCTTTGAAGGTGAGCCTGAAATGATGATCCATAGCCCAACTGCAGTGACATTGGTGATGCCCAGGTGTCCGAGGAATACAGACTGGGAGGAACTGGTATTGGGAGTTGCAAGCAAACTCCAGAATGGTTGGAAGTTGCTTAATGTACACTTGCAGCTGCCCCTTGTGTAACTATGCCCTGAAGGTGTGCTCAGGTACGTACTTGTTGGTGGCAATGTCATAGACTTCCACCGAGTTGGTCAAACCGGAGTCAGTAACACCAGCCGCCACGTAGATTTTGTCTTTGTGCACAGTGGCTCCAAACAGGGACCGGGCGGTTTTCATGGGAGCCAACTCCTTCCACTCAAACTTGGATGGGTTGTAGACACACATCTTCTTCAGGCACTTCCTAGAGAAGGATGAGAGAGAGAAGGAGCCTCGATCGCCTGCCGAGGGGCAGTTTTGCAGGGCAGGAGTTGGGGGATGTCTGCTGGGAAGAACATGGGGGTCTCTAGAAAGGATTTAGCTCCTCCACATCGGCATGATGGCCTTTGCTTGGGTGCGCACCCAAGGATGCCCATGCCTGGAGACATCATTTGTGTGTATAACACATCCCCTCCTGGTGTGCCCGCTTTGGATAGGAGTCCTAAAAGCTCGACATTGAGTTCACACAGCTGGATAAGGGCCCATGTAGCTAACTGCCTCTCAGGACCTCGCCCACAGCCCTCAGAGGGTGTTTCAGTGCTGCTGATCCAACCTGACGCCGTGCAGTGTCACCAGTAACAGCCCCGTTCCCCGGGACGGCAAGGTGAGGTGTGTGAATGTATGCACGCTCACGCTTCTTGGACCATAATCCTTTCAGAGCAGGACTTGGTTTTGCTGCATTATGGCATGTTTGCTCTGCAGACGGTCACATTTCTGGCTCGCAAAGAAATCTCTGCAGTGTTCCCCAGGAAAAGCTTTTTCTGCTGAGCCCATCTCCTGCAGGAGGGCAGGACAGGAGTCAGTTTTGATGAAGTTTTTTCCCCCCTATTGCAAATATCCATCTGGATTTGACTACTAGGACCACGCTGCTCCACAAGTCCAAGACAGGAGACCCTCAATGTGAAGGGGATTCTTGCTCTTCAGGGCCTCTCCCAATCTGTGCGATATTTATTTATTGTGAGTTAAGGGGATGGTATGTTCCCTCTCCTGCAAAGACAGTGCCATCTCCCTAATGTCCCTGTAGGACTCCTAATGGCTTGGGAAGGGCTGCAGTCACCAAGGTGAGCTGAGAGGGAAGGATCCACGTCTCACACCCCATCCAACCCTCCTTAACCCATAGCATCCAGGTTGGGGAGGTACCAACTCATGCTCTGCACTCCCACTAGTTTGGGGGATGACTCCTTCCATTTCTCTTGCTTTTAGACTTACTTGTCGCTTCCTTTGCCGCCAATGACGTAGACGAGGTCTTTGTGCGATACCACGGCGTGGCCATAGACTGCATAGGGAAGGGAATCGGCTTCACCCCACTTGAAGGACCTGGATCAGGGAAAGATGGGAAGTGAAAGGACTTGTAGCTTGCTGGGTGAGGCCCGGAGGCACTTTCGAGACTTAGAGGCCAGCACAGATCCTGGCAAACAGAAAACACAGTCTCAAAAATATGAGGTTTCCAATGAGATATTGCTCAACCAGTAAATTTTGTGATCCTAAAAAAAAAAAAAGGAAAACAAAATATGCAGGATGTTTATGCTAATGCTCATTCTTATCTGCAGCATCCTCTACTTTTGGGCTTTGTGCATACACAGCCTCTCTTCTCCCAGGACCTCACCTCATTTACAAGCATTACCAGCTAGACACAGACGAGACAGAGATTTCTGCATTATGTAAAAAATTAAAGCCAATGTGACTTAGGGGTGTAAGATCATGAGGACAAATTTCTTTTTTGGCCATCACCTTCCACTTTGAGATGCAATGGTTGGCCAACACTCAGAAAGGACCCACGGTGGGTATGTCTGTATTTTGTAGTGCAGGGCTGTGTTGAAGGGTGTAGCTATAAGGCTTTGGAAAGCCCAAATGGGGACCCAAACAGGGCTGACCAATTTCTCAAGAGATGTCTGTGTAGCTTAGACTTGTCCCCAGTTTTCGTACATGTAGGTTGTAGCCCCTAAGACCTGCACTTTATTTTACCTAAGAACTGAGATGCCTGGGCTCTGAGTGCTTTCTAATTGTCCACCCACTCTGGGCAAATATTTGATCCCATAGACCAGCAGTTTGCCCTCTCCAGGTTTGTTACAGTTAAAGTTTTGACCTAAATAATACTAGAAATACAGGTGGTGCTGATCACATCGCTACCAGCTTCAAATCGGTATTCAAAGCACCCCCCGAGCACTCAGCGTGGGCAGACACAGCCTTTCCCAGAGTCTGCAGGGGCAGATAAATGCCCTGTTCTGTGGGAATGAAACTGGTTTCAAATCTCTGCCTATAAAACAGACTTTGAAGCACACAGATCTAAATATAGACCAAGCAAAGGCTTGTTAACGCCTACTGTTCTGCCTCTTTGGGGCAGAGAGGAGCAGTCTTTTTGCCTCCTGCGAGCAGAACGGGACCGTGCCTTTTAATAACGCTCATGATATAACATGGGTCAGAGCCCATTGTGAGAAAATAATTGTATATTAAGCCTGCTATCTCTCAGAGTGGGCCATTCAGTGCCACATCTGAATACTTTCAAAACAAATGTTCCTGTCCAAAGCCACTCCTGGTGAGACCACAGTGAAGGTCGCCAAACTGATGGGCAAGAGCAGAAGGAAAAAATCCCCTTGCTCCTCTCTGCAGGTCCCGTGTGAGCATCTGCTAAGTTTGGTCCCTGATAACATAATATCCCCATTACGGCTTCCATCTCCTGGAGGTTAAGTTACAATAAATGAAGCAGCTGGAGAGAGACAGCTCAGAGCCCCAGGGTACAGCTTGAGACAGTCCCAGTGGTCCCAGCATCTAGATGGAGAGTTCAAGCCCTGTCTCCAAAACCTTTCGGTCCCTGGAGGGCTGGAGTCATTTTGCACAGCAGCTGCTTCACCTTCTCCTGTCGACCACCTCCCGCCCCGCGCTCGCAGGTGAACACTTACAGCCGGTCATAGCACAGGACCGAATCCAAGGTCTTTTCTCCCTCTTTCAGTTCTTTCCCTCCAACCACAAAAATGGAGTTTTCCGCCTCTCCCAGGCCAAAGAGGCAGCGAGGGGAGGGCAGGGGGGGCATCCCCAGCCAGTCTGCATCCAGATGGTCGTACTGAAAGGAAACACATGGTCATTAGCCTGTGCTCACTCGGCCCATTTGCTTAGCAAAAATCAGGGTCCAGAGGCTGAGGGCAAAGTCCATGCCCACGTGCAGCTTGGTCACCCCGGTAGGCACTTTTTTGCAATGTCGTTCTCTGCTTGTGCCTTACCATCTGTGCAGGATGGGGGATTTTAGTCCATAGTCCATTTTTAGTCATATATCATATGAAATATATTTTATGACAAGGCATAAGAGCAGAGATGCACCAGCAGGAACATGTTCTGCTCTGTGCGCCAAAGCCTTGACTTGGAGCAAGCTTGGTCATCTTCGGATGAGAGTCCCGTGTTGGACCCATAACAGATAGTTCCTGACACTGGAGGAGCTGAAGCACATCAATCTTAGAAATTTTGCCTGAACCTCTTCAGCAGTATTTCACCCCGATATTTTTCATCTCTGCCAGGTAACAACGTGGTGTTGGCAATGTTGGCTACACAACTCACTCCCCTGAGCCCATTCTTCTCCCACCAATTCTTCTTCTTTCTGGCAAATGATCAGTTGTCATGTCCCTCCTCTGCTTCTCAAGATACTGATGTCGTCCCGTATCACCTCAGTGTGCTTGAGAGTTCATGAGATGAAACGTGTGTCTATCCGCACAAAGGCTATTTGCACAACACCTATCTACCCAATATGGTACAATACAACTGAGACGGTGCTGCAAAGCTTTTCTTGCTGACCAAAGTGTGCCAGACCCATCTGATAGATGGGGAAACTGAGCCATACAACTCTACTAGATCAGATAGCCAAATCCTTGCAGATCCTTGGACATCTGTAGATCATTGCCTCGTCTCCCACCAGAAAAAAAGATGTGAAACGTTATGAAGCAGGAAGCTCTCTGGGCACCATGGCTTGATGGGAACTGTAAACTGGGGCAAAAATTTTTAATGTAGCTTGGTAGCAGAGGAGGGACTTCATGGGTTAAGTCTGGAGCGCCGTCTTGCAGCCAGTTTGGTGACACTCTGCAAGATGAAGCTGTGATACATCATTGCCTGAAGCACTGTTTGCTGTGGGCTCGGGCCAAAGAGCTTCAGCTTGCTGGGTTGCCTCCAAAGACTCGGCCTCAGCTGGGTGCCTGTGCTTATTGTCTCTTTGTAAGCTGTGGTCCACATATGTGTTATTTATAGTGCAAGCCCGAACAGCTCAGTCATCAGGATAGTTCCTGCTTCTTGATGGATTCAGCATTGTTTTCAAGTCATAAATCTTAAAAATGACAAATAAAGGATGCCCTTTTCCATCTGAAATGTCAATGGAATCATTCTGTTCCTGTCCAAATTTGCAAGGCCTCTGGGATTTTTCAGCATTTTTATATTTTGGTGCCTGTCCTTAAGTCTAAACTATCCCTGACCTAACCCTCCTGGCTTCAGCAAGAGGAATGTGAAATCAGGGAGGCCAGAAACAGAGTCAGAAGGTGTAAGATGCTGCTCCACTGGCAGGGTGATTCAAGGGTCCATCGTACAGCTGCCTGGCTACACCTGTGTGAAGTTTCAGCTGAAAAAAGGCTCAAAAGACTCTCTTACTCATACAGAAACCGTGAGCTATGTAATGGCACTGATGGCAACAAATTACACCTTTGCAAATGGGTGGCACCTTCCAGCCCTGGGACTTGCCTGCACCTCCCATGCATGAGTCCCACAGCGAGCCGTGAAGGGACCACTGTCCCCTTCTTGTGGGGAAGGAGCTAAAAACGGCCACACGATGCCCAAGTAATTTGCTACTGAGTCAGTGGCAAACTGGGAGATCAATATAGAAATCTTGATGTTTGCAGCTTAGAATCACAGAATAATTTAGGTTGAAGGGACCTCCAAAGGTCTTTCATCCAGCCGCCACGCTCCAAGCAGGTGTAGCTTTGGAGTTAGAGCAGGTTGTTAGGGCTTTGTGCAGTCAAATATTAAATGTCTCCAAGGATGGAGGTTTTGTGACCTCTCTGGACCCCTGCTCCAATACTCCAACAGCTACGTTGAGGAAGGTTTTCCTCACAGCTAACTGAAATTTCCTTTACTGCAACTCCTGGCCATTGCTTCTTATCCCATCTTTGTGCAAATCCAAGAAGAGTCTGGACCCCTCTTCTGTGTCCCCTCCTATTAGGGAGCTGCAGACACCAATGACAACTTCCCTTCCCCTTCTCCAGGCTGATCAGACCCAGCTCAGCCTCTCCTTGTACCTCCCGTTCTCCACCCCTGACCATCTTGGTGGCCTCTGCTAGACTCATTGCAGTCTCAATGTCTCCCTTGTACTGAGGAGCCCCAGACTGGACACAGCATCCAGATGTGGTCTCACAATTGGATGACCAAAGGGAAAAAAAATCACTTCCCTTGACCTGCTCGCTGCAGTCATGCTGAAACAGCCCAGGACATGGTGGACCTTCACTGCTGCTCAAGGAATTACCTTGCGTGGCCAGCAACCAGACTGGTGGAGCATTGATCTTTAGACATAGCAGCCCGTCTACCTGCTCTGCGCAGGTGATGGAGCTGGCCACAGCCGCTGTTGTCATCCGTTGTCCGGTGCGAAGGGCTATATCTCAAACAGCATTTCCCCCGCACTCCCACTGCCTTCCTCCTCCATCCTGCTTTCTAGGGCTGCGGTTTCTTCCTCCTGACTTCTCATTTCACGGCCTTCACTTGGGCTGCATAAGCTCCAAAGCCTGACCCTTTCCGGGTGAGGACAATCATGGTCCCTGCACACATGGTGCAGGTGTACAGACCTACCCATGCAATGAGGCGATGGAGGGATCAAGGCTGTATGTTTCGGCTTGGGAACTACCCTTACTTTATCCTTTCTGCCTGGACAAGTTATTGTTTCCTCCCGGAAGATATGTCAGCCATGGGAGAAGAACATAAGGATTTCTGGGTAGCAGGGGTGGGACAGAGGTTTTCCTGGATTCCTACAGGGTCAGCAGGAAGGGGAGGGAGGGGCAGCAGGAAGGGTAGGCTCCCTGCGTTAGCTGTCTACAGGGAAGGTGCTCTTGAGTTACAGCCCAGGCCTGGGCTCAGATTGCCTGCGCACAGCTCGATCTGATCACAGCTTTAGTTACTGCTGAGTTAGCACAGCCACTTTTCTTGTGGAGGATCCCAAAAGACGTCACACCATGGTTTCCCCCGCACATGATAGAAATGGCCAGAGACTCTGAGCTAGACCTAGCACACCTCCAGGGGCAAGAACAGCACTGGAAATGGGGCACCTAATGGTAGGTAAGGACATACCCTGTGTCCTTGGAGTGTTTGCTCTGTGGCTGTAGCTACTGCTGTTCCCTTTGTTGGTACCTGGCAGAGTCACCCCTGGGTTTTGCTGGGGATTGATAACCAGGGAACATAAAAGATGCAAAGCTGAACCCAGACCTGATGCCACTAAACTTCCAGTTCGTGTGCCCTATGGTGGCCAAGGCTGGACCAAATACACTGTTCAACGTGGTCCCCTATTCATGATTTGCATCAGGAAGGGTTATTCCTATTACCTACCCCTTCAAGCCTCCTTCCTCAATGACTAGAACCCCGCCTTTGTGGGATCTGCCTTAAAAATATAGGGAGAAGAGTCTCTAGTTTCATCTTCATTTACAACTTTCTTTTTAACATCACATGACAATGTATATTACTGGCATCACATGGAGGCTAAAGACTGGTGATGCTGCAAAGTGGTCAAAGAAACAAAAGAAAGATAAAGTTAGTACCTGTAGGAAGTAGGAACTCATGGGATCCTCTTTGCTGTCCTCATTGTAGTACAGTCCGCCGACAATGAAGATCTGATTCTCTTTGGTCACCAGACTGATGTGGTTCTTTGGGATTTGAGTAGACAGGGAGGCAAAATAGCACTCGTTGGCGGTGGGATCATAGGCCACTGCTCCACTGTCGCTCACCATGAAAATAAGGTCCTGGAGGAACATCCCAAAGCGCATTGTGTCATTTAAGATCCCTGGGAGAGCATCTTCCTCTGTACCTTCCTCCTCATCAATGGCTCCATTGACAACATTGTCTTTCGCTTGCTTTTCACTGCTTTTCTTCACTTTCTTCTTCTTCACCACAGTGAATTTGCCTTTCTGGGCATCCTTCACCATCTGCAGTTTCTTGACCAGCTCCGGGCTGGACTTCACCATGGCGTGATTCTCCACGTGGTCCTTGATGTAGTCGTTGGGCATGAGGCGGAAGCGGATGCTTTCAAAGATGACAGGCAAGGCCTTCTGCCGGCTGTCATGGTCCTTGGTCCCCACCCACTTCATCACTACTTCGAAGACAGTCTCCTCTTTCTCGATGTTGAGGGAGTCACTGGAGATGATTGCAATAAGCTCATCAGGTGAAAGCTGGTAGAACTCCTCGTCCCGAGAGACCAGAGCAAAGCGATCGCAAATGAAATCCCGAGCTGCCACGGCCAGCCGGGCACAATCCAGCATCAAGCCCAGCCTGAAGATAGCCAAGCAGTTGCTGAGGCAAAGCCGCTTCTGCAAGAAGGACACGCAGACAGTGAAGATGGAGGGGATCTGGAACATGTTGGCCACAGAGAAGATGTCCTGCACATTCTGCTCTGTGATCTCCAGCTCGGAGGTGTAGATATAATGGAGGATCTTGCCCATGACATCTGGATCAACATCTTCCAAACTGACCTCCCTTTTCTTGCTCTCCTCCATGTCCGAGAGGAACATCGCTCGAAAATATGGGCTGCAAGCTGCCAGCACCAGCCGATGGCAGGGAAACTCCTTCCCCTTGACTTTTAAGACACAATCCAGAAATTTATTGTGGTCCAACATGTCTTTGAGTCCATCCTGGAGGAGAGTTTGCTGGTAGAGACGCAGTTCTTCCACTTGTTCAAAAGGCAAACCCATGGCGAAGAGTAACCACTCCTTTTTTTCCCAATCCTTCTTTTATATATATGTATTTACGAAGATATCTATACCTGAGCCCCTGGTAAAGAAACTTACTCAAAGCAGGGCTCGCGAGTCTCCCTTGCTTCCAGACCGTCAGCACACTGGGAATGTGAAACGCTTGCTACTATCGCAGCTGTCTGTGTACTTCTGTTTCCAGCGTAGGGCTTTTATATATAGCCGTTACAAAGCTTCAGGAATCCATACTGGAGCATGTGTAAGCCGATCACCCTTTAATATGACACATTGGACAAGGAGGAAGGGAGGGGGACGGGGGAACAGCTGTAATTCCAGCCTCGATGCTTCTGTCAGCCCGTGAGTCACTGCGGAGGGAGGACGAGCTTTTGCTGTCGTCCCATGACGGGAGACGCGTGTGACCCATCGGCTCAGCCGCTGTGCTTGGGAAACAGCCTCCAGATGAATCAAACATCCGAATCTGCCTTCTAGGTCATGAATGGCAGGGCTGGGACCTTCTCCCGACACCGCTAAACCGACTGCTGTGAAACTGCTAAACTTTTTGCTGTGCTAAAAATAGACTGTGAAGTCAAAGCTGGAAAGATGCGATCAGGGAGCGTCTTATGTGGGCTTTGTGGCATCCCCGACTCCCGCCGGCTAGCTCCCAGGACTGCTTTTCTCCACAGGTTTGTCCTTTATTCTCCTCTGGAGTCAGTTTTCAGAGGTCTGGAAGGGGATGGAAAATGAAGATAGAGCTATTTATTTACACCCCTGTATGGGTTGAGACCTATGCTGGAAGTTACTTAAAAAGTCTCGCTAAAGGAGGAGACTCGAGGAGCCTGGGAGAGGGGTGGCTCTGCTTTGTCTGCAATACGTGCACGGGC